TCCTCTAAAATCCCCCAATTGGAATAGACTTCAGGGAAGTTCTTTGACACAATCTGGCATACATCACATGTATGGAAAAGTCTGAACGCTATATTTTTGTTGGTATATATAAAGTGTCAGCTGAGAGTGTTAGAATAGCATAGTTTGTTTCTTCTGCTTAGCGTTATTAAAAGGATATTGCTCTCTTAGCCTAACCGTTGATTCACATTCTATCTGATTTAATGATTTAATGATTTAATCATCCTGTATCATAAAGTCATAGCAAAGAGTGGAAGTTTTTCCTTGCTAGTGAAAGGTAGATACATTGATTCTAATTTTCGTTAGGTGCTTTGCGGTGAGACTCCATATCGTTGATCCATAAACTTTTCCTTCCTGGGCATGCTTGCTAAGTCTGAGTTGTAAGAGGACACCGATCTGAATTTCAGTTTGCTCTCTCTCTCTCTCTCTCTCTCTCTCTCTCTCTCTCTCTCTCTCTTTCTCTCTCTCTCTCTCTCTCTCTCTCTCTCTTTCTCTCTCTCCCTCTCTCTCTCTCTCTTTATATAGACCTATACCTATCCTTTGCTACCACATGTGTAATTGGTAACCTCTCATTAGTGAGAACCAAGTAGAGAAAGACGCACTTGTCCTGGTGTATATACGCCCAAGGCTTCTATCCTATGTTGAGGGTGCCTTGGAAAAGAGTCTCAAAATAGCAAATAATGACAGCTTTGTACAATATAGCTTGCAATCAAGAGAGTCTAATTCACTCTGTGCCTGTCTCATTGATCTCAATTATACTGCCACCATCTCTTTCATTTATAGATAGAGATAGTCAAACTAACAGTCATAATGCAATTACGCGTACATTATTATGCTGTAGGTGTTGTACAAATATAGACTTTAACAAAACAAAAACATTATGTTGGTTGTCCTTGTAGAGTAATCTGGTTTAAAAGAAATCTGGTCAATTCAACGAGAAATATTATAATAAATCTTGCTAGTCATTAGGTGGGTAGATGTAATCTTTGCTTTAAATAGTTTACCTCACTTTAAAGATGGAGCCTCACAGCCAAGGGCGAGCAATCAAACTTGTCGGAAAACCACCTGCTTAATGAATGAAACTTGTAAAATTCTGGCTCGGTCGTTCGCTTCTGAAAGGCAGATTCTGGATAAAGATTGTTGTTATTTTCTTCCTGTCTCGATCGTGTTCTCATCACTGAGAACAATGCCAGAGTTTCCTTTTCCCCTAGAGCTCGTGAACAAGTGGTTGCTTCCCCTCTCCCCAGTTCCTAATCAAACATCCCCATGCACAGAATCAACAGGGAGCAGTCGTAATTTTTTCTCTATAGAGAAAGAAAAAAAGATTACAAACAATCGTTAAAAGGACCGATTTGGTTGGATTCAAGTTTTGTTTTGTTTTACGTCATTGCAAGGTCATCCGCCCCCCTCGGGCAGAAACAGAAATAACTTTTTTGTTGTTTTATTCTCTCTTAATTAACTTGTGCTGCTTTCGTATAGAAGCCATATCTCTATGCCAAATATGTGAATACCACATTTTTTCTTCTAATCTTCTAATCTTCTCAACATTCTAGTTAGTCATGTGTGTGGATAGATTGTAAGTTGATGGATAATTAGTTGTTTTTATTGTTTTATAAGGTTAATAAATTTCTGTTTTTTATGTCAATGTTATTAATTTCTTTAGGTTTTACTTCTGCAGATGTATATTTGAGCCTTTTCAACTCTGATCTGTTCACCTAATAGATATTGTTAATTTAATAGTTAGATGGTTGTTGGCTTAAGTGATTGTTACATGTTTTTATGACACAGTCATTAATCTCTATAACTTGTTTCATTTTGGAGCCGTTTGCATTTGGCTGCTAGCTTCACCTAAAAGAAAGCAAAAGAAAACATGTGCCCTTTAACTGGCTTTCATTGAAGAGGTACCTGCAATATGTCTTCATCTCGGTTTGGCCTTTGTATTGCAATGAAAGAAATGGAAAGTGGAAATGGAAATTGTCTTGAGATCGATTTGATAATTCTGAAGGCTTTCTGTCTGGACCCCCACTGCCTGCATTTCCTACAGAAATGTCAAGAATGGTTTTATGTTTCTGTCTACACCGCACCTTTCTGTATATATGCTTCTAGAATATGCAGGATGGATTGTAAATACAATATGGTTCCTACCCTTAAGAGCATGTTTATATTGCTACAGTGGCATTCAAAATACTCTTATGTTACATGCAATTTTACGGTCCCCCAAGTAAGAAGCTAAAAGTGGTTGATGTTCGCCCTGTGGCCCCAATAATGTTTCAAACCAATTGCATGTAGGCCCTTCATTGTAACGTATGGTGAGAGTCAGAAGGCCATTAACTCACACACAGAAATATATCACCTCTGGCTCTCAATAGATGATATAATTTATCTTTTGTTAATTATTTCACCTGTTAATGGAGAGCCAGAAAAACATTTGAGCTTTTCACATGTATGTTCAAATGTTTTGAGTTAATGCTCTTTTGGCTCTCGGCAGACAACTTTGGTTGGATTTTTAATCTTGTTTTATCATCACATATATAGAACCCATTGACATGGGGATCATTGGATTAGCTTTTGAATACCAGTTTACTCAAGTTCAATTCCAACTGCCCTTGGACAAGGCATTTAATTTTCAATTAACTCTCATGAGTCAAATGTAGTAAAATTAAAACCTTGTCAACAAAAACTTGAATTATTTTAGCACTAGATTAACAGAGCAAAAGAAATTTTCTTTGGATGAACAGTGCAGTACAAATGTTTACTATTATTGTTTTGATTACGACGGTTGGTAACGATTTCCGGTATGGCAAAGGTTTTTCATATGTTCAGGGATTGATGAATGTCAAAGCACTTGAAATGAAGGGCATATATGTGTTTCATTCGGGGACCAAATATGACCAATATGTGATGTGACTACATTGATTTGAAAATCATATAATGGTAGGTTTATGCAGGGAGATTGGTTTGGAGTAATTGCATGCATGTACAATTACATATATTGGATGTTACATTGAGATGGGAAAAGTAGTCTATAGTTGATAGACATGTACTTGTAATATATTTACTTAAAACCTTTAAAGAGTGTTAGCAGAATATGGTATGTTGCAATCTGTTAACATGGGTATCTTATGGGGTCATAATAAAAATTTGTGAGAATACCCCCTAAAGTGAACAGACTTCTAGATTATAAACCTTTTCTGCCTTACTTTTATTAAAGGCAATTATCCACAAAGTACTAGATATTTTTACGAGGCTGCAAGTACTTTCAAGCACAAGCACTCGAGTACGTTATCATCTATTTTTGTAGGATTATGTATAATGGGTCCAAAGCTGAAGAGAGATTGCATGTACACCTATAGCAAAAGGGAAATGAAAGTAAACCTGTTTTCATGTGACATTGCCATATAGAGGAATAATCATTACAAGATGAGATAGTCATCAAGGTTGCACGCCATGTTGAGATAGAGAAAGTTTAATTATCTTTCTCTTTGCACACAAAAAAATGACATAATTACAACAAGGATTTCTGTAGCTGGTCTTCCTCACGAAAGCGTGTATCCGGGGATGGATCTGCAGGCCAGCTGGTGTGATTTCTTTGTCTCTTTAAGTTTTTGAATGACCTGAAACACGGCATAATTGTCGATCGTTCATTTGTATACTTCCTGGTAGATCCTAGCTGAGATATATCATGGACACATCCTGTGTCCTGTTCACATTCAAAAGTATTATCCAGATATTCAAGCAAATGCGTAATAAACTTAAATAATGAATGGTTTAAATCCATTTGATTATAAGCGTTGATAACAAATCAAATTATTTGATATTAACACTTCAAACTTTTGATATTTCAATTTATTTTTTGAAATTTCACAATCCACATACCCTTCATGTTTGATTTTAGATTTGTTCACATTTATCACAAACCTGTTATCAGGCAGGCGATGCTCACACCATGTTGAAATGTCACATTCGTCTACTCCAAGCATGTACTCTGCTCTAGTGAATAATTATGTGTGCTGGTGTGAATATTTTGAAAACATGTATTCAAACATATATTTCATATTCATGAATAATATATACATGTAGGGTATTGTAAATCTTGTAGGATAGAGTTTAAAATTTGCTTCTATTTCATTTTGGTATAATTATGTGACTTCTTTATATATCAAGGTTACCTGTACTAATCTTAATGCCATATTTATACAATGTGTATTACATATTTCATGAATGTAATTATTACAGTTATTAAATTTTGTATTATGTTATACATGTATGTACTTTTTTAGTCACACCGCATTTTTTAACTTTCCAAAGAAAACCAGGATCTACTTTAGGGGTGGGTTGAGAATCACTCAGGATATCCACTTAGGATACGAAACAAAAAGTACATGAGCAATTAAAGATTGTGAAATTCCCCAATTACCAAGTGAAAGTTTGAGATTTGAGATTTGAGACTATATCAGGGTTTCTTTCATAATAAAAGGATTAGCGAGGCGATGGTAGTCATTTACAACTATGTACAAATTAAAATTTGCATTAAGTTGATGGCATCAATGCCAGTCATCTTTTAATATTACTAATAAAGCAGTGCTTGTTAAGTGCTTTCCACTGAAGTCTCTAATAGGGAAATCTTGGGGAATCTTTCTGAGGTAATGAGAGCAGTATCCCCTCATAAATAAAAAGAAAATAAATAAACGAATATTGAACATCAACTAACTATATATGTATAAATTTTAAAGCAAAAGAAAATATATAAATGAATATTGAAGAACACAAAATAAATATAAGTATACATTTAAAGCAATTTTCTCTCTCCCTCTAAAGATGCATACATTTTAGACTTTTGTTTCTATATACATCCACTTGTTTATTAAATATATGAATGTATATATCCCTTTTAGTGTTTGTTTATCATTTATATTTTTTATGACATTTCATATTCTTAATCATTTCTTTCTTTCTTCCTTTTTTTTGTTTCATTTATGCAGTCATGTTCACCCTTTGGAAAAGTTGAGACATACAAGAAAATCTGTCCACTAGGAGAAGGATCATATGCCAAAGTCTACAAGGCAGTAAGCTGGTAAGGCAGTCTGATTGATTGATTGAAGTGATTTTTGAGGGTTTTGAGGGGTTTTAAAGGGGGAGAGGAGATACAGGAAGTTGCAATCTTTTAGTTGTACATACAATACCATGCTCATATTTTGTTAAACTATCCATAAACATATTGATTCTGTGATAAAATTGTTTTTGAAAGAATAGTGCAGATACTGTTCATTTATTTCAATACTATAATACGTAGAAAGATATTGCTATAAAATATAAATGTATTGGAAATATAAATTTGGGTATTATATGAACTCCTGGAAGATGGAGCCTGTAGTCCTTCAAGTCACTGAAAAGTACATCATCATGCTGTGAGTAAACCCATTGCTGGTACGTATGAACCGGGTCGTTCCTGTATTAACCATACAAACTAAGAGAATCCGGTAGTCAGTTGGTTAATAATGACTTTTTAAAACGGCATCCCTTACTTTTTCACCTTTGCTATAGAACTTTTATATTCATTTTAACTTATAACATTCTCTTAAACATTTTCTTTTTAAATCACAGTATAAACCAGCAAGTGGTAGCGCTCAAGGAGATCAGACTGCAGCAAGATGAGGGGACACCGTTCACGGCGATACGTGAGGCATCCCTCTTGAAAGACCTCAAGCATGCTAACATTGTGTGTCTTCATGATATCATTCACACAAAGACAACGCTCTCGTTCGTCTTTGAGTATGTGGTACGTATACTATTTCTGCTTTTTTTTTTAAAGCCCCTCTGCACTAGTTTGGCATGGAGGGATTAGACCTCCCTGCAAGGTCACTGGCAGGTAGTTATCTCATCATATCACCTCTCAATTAACCTAAGAAAAAGGGCATCATGGGAGATCACCGGGTACCGCTTAGGCAAGGTTAACTGTATAGAGGGAGCAAGTAGCTATAAGTAGTGCAGTGGGGCTTTAATCGGGGGACAGGGGAGTAACCGTTCATGACTCAGAATTTACCGGTTTGCTGGTTTGTTTTTACCTGGCTGCTACCGGTGAAAGGAAGGATCCTCTTTAAAAAGAAAAAAATCAGATATCCCAGTCCTATGGAATGTGTGCTCTTCTAATTAGCAGATTGATTCAAAATCAATGATGCTTAATTGGAAAACAGTCTGTCAGTTCCAGCAGATGGTACAGACGAGGAATGATTAGAACCCATCGGTTTCCAGCTGTGTATATTTATTTGGATGACAATCTTTGAGATATTGAATGAGATGGAATCCACTGCTCCATGTAGTCCTCAGTATATAATTTCAGGAAAAAAAGGAAAGCCCCTACACAGGCTGTTCAATTGTAATCATATTCAAATTAGCATGCATTGCTGTATGAAGGATTCGCATTGCTATTAATGTTCATACTGTGCAGCTCATTGATCTAAAAGCTATTCTACAAATATCAAAGCTCTATCAAAGATCTTTTCTAAGTTTTTTACAGTTTCTTGAAATTGCCATGAATTTAAATTATAAAATATTTCACAATAGAGCAGGAGAAAGCAATCGTCCAATCTTTGATGTGAACTTTTGTTCATGAATGTCGTCATACCTCCATAAGTGCAACAGGATTTGCAACAAATAGTTACAAGTTTAATAGTTACAAGTGGCAACCTACGTCATCTCTGGAATGACTTACACTATCTAGTGAATTGTGTTGCATTAGTGTTCTTCACAGTTTATAATTGATCACATTGTGATAGTTCTCATTAGCACTTTATATGAGAGAAGTATATTTGTACAAGTCTATTCAAGAAGTATTACAAAACGGGATATATAAATGTACCCACTCATCATGTTGTAATAGTAATACATTGGTTGCGAATTCACTTTCGATTGGTCAACTTACCAATTTTAATTGCCATATAGTATCTTCCCACTCACTTTCAATTTAAAATTCCTTGAGTGAAACAGAGAGCTCGGTATTAATTAACTGTTTATAGAAATTAAATTATTACTGAATCACTTCATTGTGTGTTCACAACTACATTTAACAATAGGGCAATCGTAGAGTAATAATGAGCAAATAAATAGGGAAAAGGTTTAAGTGTATATAAGCTGTTTTCTACAGTGAATATTATTTCCAGCACAATTATACTAGATGTATCATGTTATAGTTTGGTCCATGCAGTATTCTGGTATATGATTTTTTTTTTAATATGAAAACTGCAAAATGTTACCAGATCTGAAGATGAGCTTGAAGATTTTTTTTTTTAAAGAGTGAAAAAGTAGAAAAATAAAGAACAAGCAAAAAGATGGCTCAGGAGTTTATTGCATGAGCAGACTCCATACATACTCTCCTTAACAGTAGCTGTATTAATAGGGAAACATAAATGTTTTATGTTATCACCATTGATTAATGGCTTAATTGCATTGTTTGCTTACTACTTTGCCCTACCCAACTTTATGTGATAGATGAATTTGCCAATTGACGTCATGCAGTGAGCATGGTGTGACATGCTGTCTGATATTAGTCAAGTTCACACGACAGTTGAGAAACTTAACGTTTAGGTCGTAGTTTTGAACGGTGACATTATCTTGTAGTTGTGGAGGGTATCGATGTACTCGTCATAAAATTTTTAATTTACTTGAATTTAAAAATGCTGAGCGATCTTATGATTAGCTAAGTAGTCCTCACTCAAAGATATATGCTGTGTAGACGCACTAAACTTCATGGTTACGTCAGCTCGGTGATAAAATTATCGCTTCTCCAGGTCGTAGTTTAAAACTTTGAATGCTTGTTGTTTTGGTCTGGTGTGAACCCTTGTCATTGTTAGTGGATCGTTTTTAAAACGTTAAAGTTTCACAAACTTACAGTTTAGAATTACAACGTTCCCATATGAACATAGCAACAGTCCTGTGTTGCTCTTTCATGTTTGCAGTGCCAATAAACTGCCCTTTTTGAGTAATGGGGTCCACATTAAAGTATTTATGAGTTTTTCTTAGTCAGTTTTATTGGATTTGTGATAATGCAATCCAGTAAAGCTTATAATGCTTTCCTGTTAAAGTTGTTCCCAAGTGATCACTTTAGAGTAGAATATTAAACTTCTTTTTCTTTTTCTTTTGTTATCAATTTTTCACCAGGGAATCTTTCCTACAATAAATTTTAAGCAGTTATCTGTCCTCTTCCCACTTGTGTATTTGAAATTTCTTTTGTATCCCCTATTTTCCTCTATATCCAAGTATACATGTGAATTCTTTGTGTATTCCTTTATCTTCATTTCTTCCACTTGTTCTCTGTACATTTTTTCCCTCTAATTCAATTCTCCTTATTTTGTGTCCCTTATCTACTTTCCCCTTCTACCTCTTTGGTTTATCATAGCCCTTTATCATCATACACACCTAACTTCAGCCTATCCCTTGTTTGTATCCAGTTTTTTCTGCTCTTTAGGCAGCATCATACATTAAGTTTACGTTTTCCATGTTTGTTCCCTTTGCTACTCACATCTCATTCAGTATAAACAAATAATTGAATACTATAAAAAGCTAATTAACACATACCTCATTACTTGTATTAAAAATGTATATTTTTTTGTTTCTCTAGCATACAGACCTGAGTACGTATCTGGAGAGGCATCCAGGGGGCTTGAACCCTAACAACGTGAGGTTGTTCCTCTTCCAGCTCATCAGAGGTTTGTCGTTCTGTCACAAGCGGAAGATCCTTCACAGAGACCTCAAACCACAGAACCTCCTCATCAGCGAAGCAGGAGAGCTCAAGTTGGCAGATTTTGGTAAGCTAGCTCAGACATGATTGTCTTGATAAAGGTTACATTTAAGAGGGTAACAGAGGGGTAGGGAGATGGATGCACATGTATATATTTAGACAGTGATGAAGTGGGTAAGGAGATAAACATACATGAAGAGAGAGACAGACAGACAGACAGACAAAAACAGACATTACTTTACATGTATTTACAAGTTTTTCTATCATGACAAATGCTAAATCTACTATAAAAATGATCAAAAGTTCAAGCTTTGTGGGCTAGATTTTGGAATAGAATACATGTTTTCTTGTAATTTTTTTGCCCAAATTTTAATTTTGTTTATTCATCTTTTAAATCCTATCACCCTTAGGCCTTGCAAGAGCCAAGTCAATACCAAGCAGGACATACTCACATGAAGTAGTGACGTTATGGTACAGACCGCCCGATGTTCTCATGGGTTCAACGGACTACTCAACGCAGCTAGACATCTGGTAAGAAGACATTATCATTATTTTTATTCTTACTTGGAATATCTCATTTACATTCAGGGAATGGTTTGAATGTTAACTTGTAGATATGTTATCTTCTTCCCAATAAAAATCATAACAATAATTTTCATATCACTTACAGTCTCCAAAAACTAAATAAACTTCCCTGAAGGCTGTGAACAAACCTTCAATTCAATTCATAAGACAAAATGTGATGATTCTGGACTGACTCGATTGAGTCTTAATTTTCTTCGTTTGAATCTTCATTGGAAACATTATTTTGTTCCTATATTGATTAGAAGTATGTGTTGAATTTCTTCCTTTCTTACTCTGAACAATAGTTACCACTGTGAACATAGTCAATCAAGCACTCATGTACATACAGGGATTAACCGAGCTCATACTCTAGAAAATGGCCACTCCTTCGATTCCATTTATGAATTTATTCCCCACCAGGAAGTCTCGGTGCAGATTATTGATCGCTTTCAAAGGATATTAGATGCCTGGTTTTCTCAGCTAGCCGGAAATACAACAGGCATTGAAAGTGATCATTTTCTAGATCGAATTACAATCTAGCAAAATAACATAAGTTGTTTTGTTGGTATAATGTATGTGATTGAGTTTCAGGTTGCAAAGAGCACAGCAAGATTTATCCTGCACTTTCATTTCCGTCAAAGAATGGATTGAACAGTAATGATTTTTTAGGGGGGTTGCTAGAATTTTCTTGAAAGGTTCTACCTTATTAGATGATTGTACCCTCCAATTTTTATTTTTGTACTGTATATATGTATTTTAAATGTCAATGGTGACAGTTTGTTAACCCGGTGAATGCAATTGATTTGGTATAACACATATTTACCATAGACTCCAGCCTGAGATATCTCAGGCTTAGTAGTTATTGGGTTAAAAGATGATCAATAATTCTTGAAAACTGTGTCTTTTTAATTCTTATAATATAAGCCAAAAAAATTCATTGAATTAAAAAATACATAAAGCTACCTTATATTTGATTATTAAGCTTTTCGCAAATAATGTTTGGTGAACTGATTATCTGAAACCAGTGTAGTTCAATGATAAGGATTTCAGGAAATTAATTCTAATCATTAATAATCAGAAGTTATGCCCGGTATTAGACGCCTTATCAATTAAAGTTGGCACATATGACGGCTTTCACCATGATGGTATAGAAGTGCAATCTAATCGCTAGAGAGAAGGAGAGAGAGAGAGAGAAAGAGAGAGAAAATGGGAAAGAGAGAGAGAGAGAGAGAGAGGGAGAAAGCGCTTGCACTGGGCTACACAATGTGAAGCACATGACAGGAACATGGTTTTGAACACCCTTAACTTTCTGATAACATTTTCTTGGCAACCAAAGTCCTTTTTCTGGACACAAAATCTCCAATCATTAAAGTTTCCTAACGTAATCCTCACTTTGAGGAAGTTAGTTAGGTTCGGTTTTTCTTTGCATGCCTGATATCAGAAGTTAGCATAATGTTGTTTTCGCGATGGAAATTACCAATTAAACGGGAGGTGAGCCCGTGTGTTGCTTGAAATCGCTAGAGATTTCGATAGAAAATAAACCAAATTTATCAATGTACCGGTAATGACATTTATGAAGTCATGTTTCAGGAATTCTTGAGTTAGGAGTAAGAGGTTTAGAAATTATCAAGTTTACACAGCCTTAAAGCTCTAGGGATCTTACGAGAGTAAATGTGGAGACTGCCTAGAGGCTTATGTTCTTGATTAAAATGAGTTTGCCCACTGGAAGTCATGGATTGATGAAGATTACGTGGAAAGGGGGAAGGGGAAGGGGAATGGCCTAGGAATGTTCCTTTTAGGAACATTTGTGGTTATTTTGGGGTAGCTTGATTTTGATGCCTGAACTAGATCCCAAATCCCTGTTTTCGCATGGGATTGGGTTTTTCCGCTGCATGAGCTCAAGGTTCTTTCGTTTTGATTCTTCTTAACTTCCCTTAAAAATGTTATGATAATAAGAAAATATATTTTTAATGTTTGGAAGATAGATTTGTGTCATGCTTTACCAACTTCCATGTTGCCTGTGTATATCTATTCATCTATGGGCTTATTGCCAAGTACATTTGATTGTATGATTCAAAAGCTGTAACAAATAAACTGCAAATCCTTCTTATACAGGACCTTGAAATAATTGTTCCTAGATTTGTTAATGGAACACTTCTCTCGTACCACCTACATGGCACACATTTAGTATATAGCAATTGTAATATTTGTGATATACATTACAAGTATGACAATAGAATATAGCCTTTAATTGATCACTTGTCTTTCTAATACTGTGATGGTTTAGAAATATGATTTTGTCAAGGTCTTTTAGAACAAAAGTAGTAATTTGGTGTAAGACATATCCACACAGTGGCTTGTTGTATCGTAGAACTTCAATACACTACAAATCCAGAAGAAAAAGAAAGAAAACATATTCTTATTAAATCCTTGGTTTAGTGTTGAATGTACTGAAAGACTCCTGGTCTGTGGAAAAGTACTAGAGGAGCTCATGGCTTTGGGGATGGCATATCAAAGCCAATATTTAAAATTGAAGGAGTCAGAAACTATCACTGTAGGGTTGATAAGGGATGGCACCTTAAACTGACTGTGCCTCAAGATAACAGGGATCAAACCACAAATGTCTCTCTCCACTCCATCTAGTCAGTACCTTGTCTCCAAAACTTGGCAAATCAGTTTTTTGTTGTTGTGTGTGTGTGTGTGTGATATTCAATAAAATCAATGAATATTGCAAAAAGTGATATTCATCGATTTGATTTTAATATCAGATATTGATAGCAAGAAGCTGTATGATTGCTGGAATGTGATGATTAAAGTCTGAACATGAAAGTAGATTTACCAGCTTGACAAATTAGAAGAATTAAAGAGAGGCTAAAAGCAAACAGAAATGTTTTGTATAATTTTCCAAAGGTCTTGGTTTTCAAGTACTGGTTAAATATAATTTACTTACCGGTATACATAAAAGATGTATATAGAAACACTGAGAAAAGAAAAGAAAAGTTTATAGCAAATACATATTTTGGAGTAATTTAATCATACTGAAAGGTTTTAACCCATTGTAAGCATACAAGTACCAAGAACATTATAGCATAACATATTCACTTTTCGAAAATAACAGACAATAACTGTACCTTAGAAATAATAATACTGCAGACAAAAAGAAAAAGAAGGAATGGGAAGTTGATAGAGAGAGATGGTGAAATACGATGACTAGCCATGTGGTCAATCCGATGATACCAGCAGACACTACCTACGTACTTTTTGAGAGGCCATGTAGTAGGTTTGTGTAATTGAAACCTACAAGAGTAGTATCACCTGGAGACAAACGGTTTCCTCCCCTCTGTCTTCCCCTCGTCACTTGCCCCTCATTCAGACAAGCAAAATTTCATTGTTGTATAACAATTTGAAAACTGTATAGCTTTACAATGACGTATAGAAAGATAACTCAAGGGAGAGAAAAAGTTGTCTTTATAGGCAGTTGGTGTTTATGGATAGGTTCCTTCATTACAGGTTATAATTAGAAATGATTGTCAAGGGAAACAAAAAAGTGTGGTCTTCATAGAAAGGTTGGCTTTCTCTACGGGTGGTTGCTAAAGCAAGTTGGACTTTATAAGAGATTACTCCTTTTCAACTCTGAACATTGCATAACGAAAGGTTATATGGTTAAACAGAGATTTGAACATTGTTTCAAAGGAAAACTATAAGGAAAACTTGTAATGAAATGGAGGTTTGAGCATAATTTTGAAGGAAACTAAATAAAAGGAAATGGTGACCACATACTTGACAAGCAACACCTTTGTTCTTCACATATTTTTCTTGGAGGTATACCCCCTTTTGACTATACAATGGTTCTTTGTACAAGGTATCCTTTTATGACTTTCGTATAAATATCTACTAGTGTGAATGCCCCCTTTTTTCCTCTTGGGTCTCCACCCTGTCACTTTACTGTCTACTCCTCTGACATAATACTCATGATTCATTGCCCCCTATCAGCCATGACTCTCCTCGGCAATATTGTCTTACAAAGTTACATGACACATTGTTTGGGACGCCCTAGCAACATGCTGGCACCTGTCATTCTTTCAGTTTGTTGAAACCCTTCATTCAGCCTAGCAAAAGTTGTTGTTTAGCAAAAATGTATAGCAATTAATGTGAAAAGTATGTAATTTGTTATAGTCTGAACACCATGTAACGGAATATCTTAAATCAAAATGCATGTTTGAGCATTTGACGAAGAATCAGGCCGGGGTCCCACTCTCATCTGAACGTCACATCATATAAAAAAAACATATAACTGGGCGGGGCTTATCCCCTGCACGCACAGGTGATTGGCCAGCTGACTTATCAACCGCCCTCTTTAAAACTAGTTTCTTTGTATAATTGTTAATATCCAGTCTGTACGCCCCTTCACTGTGCAATTATTCTTTTTATGACGTTTCTTTCAACAAGTTTTGTACAACTTTCCTCTTGTGTGAACATGCTGTGAGTCAGTGGCAGTTGTTGTCTGCCATGTTAACTGCTCCAGCTGCTCCAATTCCACCTGTACTACTAATTTTGCAATGTCATTGCACCTGCACTCACATCACAGAGCCTTTATACATGGAGCTTAATTTACTGTGACATTAATTTGGAGTCCAGAATGGACATGACTGTGTTGTTAGTCTAGCAAATGGTGTCAGCTGCCCGATATGACAAGTGTTAAGACTATTGTGTGAAGTGTTCCATTTGAAAAGAAAATAGTTCATTAATGAGCTCACAAGGCTGTTAAATGTTAATGTATAACTGTCTTGGTCAGGTTTTGATGGATCTTATACTGTATGAGAATGATTATAAATATGTTGACTTAGGAACCTCTAGTTAGAAGGAGCCAAAGGTTGGACACATATCTGACAAGCAATGCCAAATTATAAAGAAAAGGATAAAAAGGGCCCTATTTAGCTTAAATTGATGTACCTCTTGTATAAAGC